TGGCTAAAAATTGCCCGCAATGTGAACAATTGCGGGCAATTTTTAGCCATTTTGGCTGGGAATTGGAGGGTGAGAGTAGTATTGTATGAAATAATATCTCTCACCCTCCAATTCATCCTATGGCTGCCGAAAAAATTTTGGTGAAATGCGACCACATTTCACCAAAATTTCTCGGGCCATATAGAGAACTAGAGCCTGTGAGGTACTGATACTATCCATGTACCTCGCAGGCTCTAGTTCCAAGCCAAAATGGCTAAAAATTGCCCGCAATGTGAACAATTGCGGGCAATTTTTTAGCCATTTTGGCTGGGAATTGGAGGGTGAGAGTAGTATTGTATGAAATAATATCTCTCACCCTCCAATTCATCCTATGGCGCCGAAAAAATTTTGGTGAAATGCGACCACATTTCACCAAAATTTCTCGGCGCCATATAGAGAACTAGAGCCTGTGAGGTACTGATACTATCCATGTACCTCGCAGGCTCTAGTTCCAAGCCAAAATGGCTAAAAATTGCCCGCAATGTGAACAATTGCGGGCAATTTTTTAGCCATTTTGGCTGGGAATTGGAGGGTGAGAGTAGTATTGTATGAAATAATATCTCTCACCCTCCAATTCATCCTATGGCGCCGAAAAATTTGGTGAAATGCGACCACATTTCACCAAAATTTCTCGGCGCCATATAGAGAACTAGAGCCTGTGAGGTACTGATACTATCCATGTACCTCGCAGGCTCTAGTTCCAAGCCAAAATGGCTAAAAATTGCCCGCAATTGTTCACATTCCCATCTTTTGTTGGTAAGACGAAGAATATGAAATAAATTATGAAGAAGATAATGATGAATAAAATATCACTTTTTATATTTTTGACACGTAAAGTTGTCACTTTTCTGTCAAACTGTTTTTATCGTTTTCGTATATAACAGAGTTCCATAGCATTCTTTAACTGGAGCTCATACATTCTGTTTCTCCTCTGGTAGAAAACATATTCTGGGTCAACTCCTGTGTTCGCGTCATCTGCATAAAGTTGTTTATATCCCACTTCAGGGTTTGTATAAAACTCTTTCCATCTCATATTTGCATACCATGGTGGCAAACCTAACGCAGCGTCATTTGACATGGCAGTTTGCATTTGTACATCTGTTGGCACTTGACCATAGTTTGCCATTGCAGTTTGTATTCTAACTTCATTTGGAATATTCTCTGGGTTTGGTTGTCCAGGTTGCTGTGCATTCGCTAAGTTCTGTGCGTCCATTTAATATTAGATAAAAATATCTCTTACGAGTACATATGCTGAACATTTGCAGGCATTGGTTCATCTTCATATTCTCTATATCTTTCTGCCACGTCAAATAAATAAATGACACAATGGAAAAAACCTAAAACAAGTAGTCCTATTTCAAACCACATTTACTTACTAGTAAAATTTCTTTGTTATGACACTTTCTCCGGTTTATAGGACCTCTCTCATATTCTATCTTGTCATATCTAAACTCATAGTCATGTATGTCCTCTAACCATCTCATAACGGTTTCCAAACCACTTTTATCGGATGTAAAGTAAAAGCATGGATGGTTATGTAAAACGTCTAAAGTTTCTAAAGAGTCTCTCAAAGTCCAGTCTACTTGGTATTGAAAATCGCATGTGTTATAGAACGGCGGGTCCACTATAAAGAAAACATTTTCCTTGTCTTTATATTTTTCATACAACTCTGTCCAACGACATCTCACAAACTCTATACCCTCAATATATTTTTCTATGTCCTCTTTGAAAACATTTGTATAGTTAAGATATAAAACGTTTGACATAAGTGTTTCAATGTCATGAACTCTTATAGAACCACTATATAATAGTCTAGCAGATATACTATCCCAGTCTATATATTCTGCTTTTTTCAAAACCTCTCTCACAATATTTTTCTTATCTAATGGTATACGTTCCATCTTACCTATAGGTATCTTTTCTTTTAACGCTTTCAATATATTGTTTGTGTCTGGTATATGTTTGAGACGGTCCATATAGTTGTCGAAGTCATTGCATATAATCTTTGAGTCTGGGAATATTGTATGGCACAAATGGGATATATAGAAACTTCCACCGAACAAATCTACAAATGTTAGACCATTCGGTAGTTTCTTAAGTTCTCTCAATAGAATATCTTTACATCTACTCTTATTTCCAAAGAAGGGTAACGGTGGTTTTGTAAAATTCATTTATATATAATAATAAAAATGTTTTTTCCTGAAAAGTGACAGAAAAGTGACAAAGCATGAAAAACATATATAATTTGTGAAAAGCGACACATTATATAATGTTTTCGACCCAGAAGAAGGCTTCTCAAAGTATACTTCCTTGGAACGCCTGTAACTTTTCCTGTAGCGACGATAGACCCTTACTTGTCCGGACAAAGTTATACTAAACATCTTCGGGGCTAGAGGGCACGAAGTGCCTGGAGGCCCCACTACCTTTTTTTTTTAATTTATACTGTAATAAACAGAAATTCATCAAAAGTGACAGCTCTCAATTTTTTGACATTTGTAAATTCTAAATTGAATGAGAAAAATGAAATAATACTAAGCATAATACAATATTCTAGATTTAATTATAATTAGGAAAAAGTTAGTTTTGAGAGTACTTTTCATAGGCATATAGAATGAAATCTTCTGAAAAATAATATCACATAAACTCATATTATTTTCTAATATATAACTATTTTATATAAAAATCAAATTCAATGATCTTAAAAGCGAAGGATAAACCTCAAAATTTACGAATATAATGAGTGGGAATAGGCGTAAAGCAAAAATTGATATTTCATATGGTTTTATGATAGATAAGCATTATATTCCCACTCATTATATTCGTAAATTTTGAGGTTTATCCTTCGCTTTTAAGATCATTGAATTTGATTTTTATATAAAATAGTTATATATTAGAAAATAATATGAGTTTATGTGATATTATTTTTCAGAAGATTTTGTGTTCTTCTTCAAAATTTTATTTTTTTATTAAAAAGAATCTTTACAAAATATACATTTACTTTAATTAATATTTAAAAACGTGCTCTATCAAAAGTTCCAAAAATTCAATATTTTAGCTTTTCTGAGGTGTCACTTTTGATGAATTTCTGTTTACAACAATACAAATAAACTTATAAAACACAAAATTATTATTTTATAATATAATTCTTAGATAATACATCCGATATGTAAAGTGTCAAAAATGAATTGAACCGAATTTTCATGCATTACAAAAGAATTAATTTCTGATAATAAAGAATTATCAGAATATTTTGAAAAGCAATGGTTCAATCATGAGCAACAATGGGTTGTATCATACAAACCAAAGGATGTTCCGCTTACAAATAATATTTCTGAGAGTTTATTTCGTAAAGTCAAATATTATGACTTTGGTGGTCATCTCCACATGAAATTTGATTATTTCGTCTTTTTACTCATTACAAAAATAAGTCCAACTTACCTCGTCACATTAAATAACGATATTACCTTAAAATCAGAAGTTAAATTACCAATTGTCATAAATAATACCCCAGTTCCAAAAATAACACCAGAACTGGAGGTGATTTATGAAGCAAAACAAAAACTCAAATCTCTTAGTAAGCTACTCATGAGTGGTAAAGTTAATGTAAAACATTTTATCACTTTTGTTGAGAAAATACCCGAAAAACTCATGCAGATAGACAGAGTTGAACAGGAGATGTTCAATGTTGTAAGAAGAAGCAATGCTACCGATGAAACCAAAATTGATATTTACAGACAAATCTCTGATTTCATTAATCAGAACGATCCGCATACCATATTTAAGGGATACAAAAACTTTATGCTTGAAATAAAGGGAAAATACCATTTGGAATGGTTATGATATCTTGAATAAAATTTTTATTTTTAAAAATTAGATTTTTTTCTGTGAATATAGATCTAGTAGTTCCTAATGAGTAATAAAATCTTTGATGTTGGGAAATTGAAGTTTAATTAGAAACAATTTGGAGAATATTTTGGCAGTTGAACGAAGGAATAAGAGCCTGCGGAGTACTGACTCTAGGTCAGTACCCCGCAGGCTCTTATTCCTATTAGAAATCGGTGAAAAGTTGTCTGCATCTTAACTTATTCAAAGAAAGTTTCCCAGCTATCTAGGAGGAATTGTTCCTTATGAGGTACATATTCATACTATGCACCTCATAAGGAACAATTCCTCCGTTGAAAAGAGAAAACTTGCTCGCAATGCGGAACAATTGCGAGCAAGTTTTCTCTTTTTTTATAAGAAACTAAAGGCTGTGAGGCACTGACATATAATCAGTACCTCACAGCCTTTAGTTTCTACTAGATAGCTGGGAAACTTTGTCTCAATAACTGAGTAAATAGACAAAGCTTCCCAGCTTTCTTGTAAACTGCGAAGGATAACGGCGACTGAAACAGGCACTTATTCTGCTGTTCGAAGTCGCTGTTATCCTTTGTTTTCGTCGCTAAGTTTGGTCTGATTGGGAAATGATAACCAAACTTAGCGACGAAACAAGGCACTGCAGGGCGTTGTAGGCTGTATATTGGGAGTATATGGCCTGCAGCGCTCTGCAGTGCCTTGTTATAAGAAAACTTTCGGCTGAATAACATAGTCATTCAGCCGAAAGTTCTCCTGAAAGCAAAGGGCAGCAAAGGCGGCAGACAGCAGCGGCCTATTCTGCTGTCTGATCTCGCCGTTGTTCTTTGCTTTCTTTGCTAAATTTGGTCTTTCACAATTAGACCAAATTTAGCAAATTTAAGCCTCATCCAAATGGAGTGATTCGACTTGGAACGAGAGTAGCATCCATACTCCCTGGAAACGGTTGTGCGCGTTCCCTGTTCCTCATCGATTCACTCCATTTGGATTTTTGGCAGTTTTAAAAAAATAAACGATTTTTTTTTAAAAAAAGTCACTTTTTTTGATTTTGTCTGGGTATCGAGAGATATTATGCTTGATATTTTTTGACAGACAGAATCAAATAAAAAATGTCAAAATCAAAAATAAAAGTGTCAGAAATGAAGGATTTGAATACTCTTCAGGATCTAAATATTGAGACTCCCGAAGAGTGTTTCGGATTTTTGAGACGGACAGAAATGATATTAGACTGCGATTTATATAGATCTCTTGGTATTTACATTCTTTCTCTTTTAGTAATTTTTTCAACTTTTTATTTGGGTCCTCAATGCTTAAGAACAGTCGAAAAAGACTTTAATATCTCAAATAGTAGTACTCATATCGCTTTTGACATTTCAATCGACGGCTTAAATCATTATAACAGTTTTCTCAAGTTCCAAATAAGTTTTCCGACAAAAGACGTACTCGATACCAAATCAGTACCATTTAATCTTGCCTTTAATTCACATCAATACTTAAATAACATTTTAGTTCACGAAATTCATATCCCATATCGAAATTATTCATTAAATTTTGTCAGAGGCTCCAAATATTCACAAGCCTTAAGAGTTTTCTCATGCGAAGATCTGGATTTTACGCATACAAATTCATCAATAATTATTTCCTTCGAAAATGAACCATATCCTGTACATTTTATTGCAACTACAGTAAGTTCATCCTATGTACAATACACATATTTCATTTACTTTGTTGGATTTGTCATGTCAGCTATACTTTTAATGAATTTAATTTCATTCAGACTAAGTTTTTATATTAATGCTATATACTTCATGCAACTCTTACTTTCAGCCATAGTCTTACTCATTTGTTCATTTCCTAGGCCATTGTTACAATCAATTGTTGGAAAATCTAATATTAACATTGTAAACACATTTTTAGCACAGTTTCTATTTGTTTTCACATGTTATATTGGTTTTGTACACTTAGATGCAGGAAAACAAGTCAATCAACAGATGAATTACACTTATTCATTTTTTACATCGATTTTCTTCATTGCTTTCTTTCTTTTGATGTTTGTTTACTCATTTAAATACTCGTTGAAGAACACAACGAATCAGATCATACAACCTGATATAACAACAACAGGTTTTTCCATTGCAAAATACGCTTTAATCGCATTGTACATTCCTTTCTTGTATTTGTTTAATTACATGGCTGACTATTATAACAAAGTCGACCAATTCGTCCACTTTTGCATGCCAATTTGTTTTGTTATGTTCACCGCTGTTACGGAATTCTTGACTCCTAGTATTGTTGGAGTGGAAATGAACTTCTCTCTGCAGATTTATACTTTCGCTGCGTCAATTTCGTATATTTTGTTCTATGCATACTTAAATTGGCCAATTTCAGAAAAGAAATAATTTCAAAAGGGAAAAAAGTGAAAAAATTGAATGAAATTTGATCGTTATTTTCATGAATTATCCATAATAATATATTGTTTATTTGTTATTTGTATTTTAAACTATAGTTTGTTATTTTTCTTTATTTTCACATATTTGACACGCACACTTAAGTTTGACATAAAATTGACAGAAATTCGAGCTTATTTTAAAGGTGCACTTACGCCCGTTTGACACTTCATTTTTGGTGTTTAATGTTAATTTTCAATGATACTTCACACCAGTTATCAGGATTTTGAATGAAAGTCAGATGGACGCAAGTGTACTCTGACTCAAAAAACCCCATTATTTAAGGTTCTTATTAAATACGAAAAAAGTAACTAAAAATCGAATGTAAGTTATTTATAAATATAACAAGAGTTAAAAATCGTCAAAAACGTACAATGGAGATACTCATCATGGTATTGCATCAACTAATTGTTGATATTACCAAATTTATTATTTCTTAGGGTGCTGATGTCAATACAGATAATAAAAAGATTCCGATAATTGTTATTTGGTCAGTACTGAAATCACTAAAATTAAGTAATAAAAATTAGAAAATTTGGTATTTAAATGTATACTTATATACTTTGACAACATATTTTGCCATTTTTTCAATGCTTAAATTTATCTGCACTTTGTTGATTTTCATAATCAACATAGTTTTCTCTTTTATCCCATTATTTTCACCAGAGACATTATGGGTATCACGTGCAGAATCAATGGCAGCCGGAGTATTTTTAGGAGCGGCAGTTTTGCATCTTTTTCCTGAATCAATTCACTGTTTTGGAATATATTCATCTCCAATACCAATATTTATAACAGTTATTTCATATCTAGCAATGTATCTTTTTGAAAAATCAGTTGAAACAGATATTGAAATTCCACATCAATACTCTGACGAAGAAGATGATCAAGAATGTCAACAAGTATCAGAATCATTACCAAAACAAATACTTATGTTCTATATTGTGCTTAGTATTCATAGTTTTGTAGAATCTTTTGCCTTTGGCTTTATGAAAACAAATGCTGCTATACTTGCATTCTTCTTTGCATTTATCGGACATAAACCTGTTGAATGCTTCGTACTCGGACTCCAAATTTTACATACTCGCCCTCCGAAATCGAAATACATCTGTTTAATGTCAACATTCGCAGCTGTATCACCACTTACAATCATGGTAACATCATTTTTCGCTCATGCAACAAGCGAAATATTTAATGGAGTTGTAACTTCAATTTCTACAGGCGTTTTCATATACATAGGCTTCCACGAACTCCAAGAAACATTGGAAAAATGCAGACTCAACGAATATCGTCAAAGATTAATTCATGTTTTATGGTTTATATTTGGCCTGCTTTGGATGTGCATTATGAATCTCTTTGCAGGAGAACATGAGCATTAGATTATTTATTTTGTATGTTTTTATATTTTTTTGTATGATATAAAATAAATTAGTTTTTTTAATATATTATGAGCATTTAATGAGAAAAATAATTGAATCTATAAAGAATATAACCTGATTATGATATCAACTTGCTTATTTTCTCAATTTTGAATAGATTCTATATAATATTCATCTTATGAGGAAGTTTTCGATGACAACATGCACCAATATAAACTATTATATATTAATCATCTTCAAGCTGAATGAAAACAGTTTTGTCTTCGCATAGAAGAGGAAAGAATTATTCTGGTGCCTTTATAAGAAGGCAATTTGATTGTCAGTGATTCTGCTTTCTACTCTTCAACAATAAGCCGATATATGTATACTTAGCATTTCAAAAGAATCATATCTTTTCTTATAGTTTCTTATGATACCAATTATCTAATGAATTCTAAATACATTAAAGATTTTAGAGTTTGAATAGCTATATGAATTCCAATTTACACTTAACTTTACCCTTTGATATCTCAGCCACTCACCTTATAAGGAAATATCAATATGAAGTATAATCTCTTCAACTATGCTGAATTAAGTGGAAACTTACCACTTTTTGGCAAGTTCTCATAGTGCCAAAATATCTTTAATTTATATTGGTATGTGCATCCTTAAAAAAATTTAAATCATAACAAACAAATTTACAAACAAACAAACAAAACAAAAATATTAAGATAGTATATCTTCTATATCATTAGAACCATTAATTTCTGGTATATAACCGAAATGGTCATTTAGATTCGGAAAAGGCGGATGAACTAATCTCAAAAATTCGGATTTGATTTTGAAAATCGACTGTTTGTTCAATCTTGAGCACAAAGAGTACCAAGCTGGGTTAGAGCTTATCATACCCTCTTTTATTACGAATATAATCTTTTTCATTGAATAAGACAAAGCAGATTTTATCAAATCCGGATTTTCTCCACCAACGAAAACACCTACATCAAATGCTTTGTAGCACAACAAAACACTCAAAACAGATACACGGCCAGCAGCATCTCTCATAAACTCATTATCCCTACTAAAAATATTTTGATACAAATGAATCATTTTTTGAATAGATGTAAAGTAAAAAGGTGACAATTTGAAAGGACAATTCAATTGTACTGATTGAAAAACTAAACCAGCGCAAACAGCTGTTATCAAACCTAGTTGGGATACATCATCGCATTGTAATACGACGATTGGATTATCCATTGTCAACACAAACTTCATTAATCCGAGCAAAGGATCCTCCAAAACATTTAATGGATTCAGAGAAACAGTAACAGAAGGATACAACGAATTCAGCTCAATTCCGTAGTACGATCTTGCTGTATTAGCAATAAACGGATGTGTGTTGTATAACTCTGTTAAATTCATCACTAAATTCGAATGTTTTTCGGATAAAATTTTGAAACATGAATTTTCTTTTTCGAAAACTTTGTTTCCAAAGAGAATCATGCAATCACAGACACTCATTACTGGATAACTTAAGAAGAAATCTTGTGAAAACATGTCAATTGACAAAATTACATCGAAATGTAATGAATAATTAAATACAAACTTTTTCTGGATCTGTGTGATGAAAACCTTGGTGCTTTGAAGGATTTTCTCGATCTCTGCGATGTTTTGGCACTTGGAAATCAGGTTTTCATACACAAATTTGTGGAATTTCGAGTTAATATGGCCGGCTTTTCCACAAATCACGAATTTGATGTTGCAGTTAGACAGGAAATTCGCGAATGAGTCTATCTCAGTGTAATAGTTGCATGCAATAAGTATAAACTTCTTTTGGGACACGAAACTTTCGAGAATTCGAAATGCAACTTTCAAAAATCCGGAATCAGGGTGGCAACTTATCATGCAAAGGTCTTCAGCCCTTAATGCAGTATCTACAGCCTCTTTCTCGCTATTCGTCAGGTTCTTTTCATTGAATTTTATCGAATTCGACTTAAATTTCGGACAAAAATTTTTTTCCAAAATCAAATTTCGGATTTTTGAGTGAGAATTTGGCTTAAACAAAGAAAACAAGTTTAAGAGCCTTGTTCTATGATCACCTTTCCAATCGAAGAAGTCTATGTTCACAAGGATCCCTTCTTTCACGTGGTGGTCGTAGAGTTTCAAACTCAACATCGTGTTTGAAAAATTTTGGACAATTCCGGTTCCTAAAATTACATCTGGGTTTTCGACATCTGTTAATATGGCAGAATTATGTTTCCTCAAATGCAATGAATAAAAATAGGAAAATGTTGGACTTTCAAAAGTGACAATTGTGGCACTTTTATCGACATCCCTATGAACCGAAAAAATTTTCATTTTCGGAGCGCAGTTTAGCATTTTCACACGGTTTTCTACGTCATTTGTGAGGATGCTCGTATATGCTTCCATCTCCCCTAATGAGCTTGTCGAGATATGGTCGTAATGATGCCAGAAAAAGTCGGATTCCAAAGTTGTTCCATAAAAATTTTTTTGTGTCCTTTGGGAAATCATTCCTTCATATGGGGATTGGGATTCCATGCGGCTGAGAACGTTGCAGAAGTCTTTTACAAGGCATGTATCGCACTCTTTCGTAATAATTCGCTCGGGAATTGAGTTATCTGCAATTAATGAAACAATATCGTTTCTCCTTGCAATTAAATTCAACGATTCTTGTCGCATTGGCTGTACAATGTACCTGGAATCAGGAATGGTGGAATAATACCATAAAAATCCGACATCTGCAACATCTTCGGGATATCTTGATCGTAATAAGCTAATATCGCCTGCAAGACACGCTATGTGCTCTTCGTTGACATTTGTATCGCTGATACTGCTTGAATAAATGCGAATTGGCAGTTTTTCGTCATTAATTGTTTCTAGAATTGCATGGAGCTTACTTTTGAGGCCGAGTTTGTAGGAAACAAGTGTCTGATTAAATCCTTCGTTGTCTTTGATCAAAGTCGGAAACATTCTGCTTGATTCGACAATTTTATTTCCTAAACCAATTAATGAGAAGTCTGGAGACCGCGATGAGTCTTGGTATATGAAGTAAAGTTGTGAGATTATCTTTTTCTTTGCTGTTGTCTCGTTTTCGCCTGATAAAAATAATTCACTTTGATATTTCGTAATTAAATCGTCTGCTATCTTTGAAAGCGTAAATTTGGACTGCTGTAGTTTCGATGCACTGCTTTTTGGATTTGTTGAGATATATTCTATTAAGCATTTTCGTATTATTGTATTTAAAAAATTTGATTTGAGTGTTTGATCGTAATTCAGCTTGTTATGAATAAAACCTTTTCGGAGACATCGAATTCCTGACGTAATTAATCCAACATCGCAAATATAATATGGAAATAAAATTATTGAACCGGAATCGTTTGTAATTATGCCTTCGTCAGCATCAGTATAGAAATTTGTAAAGCTTCCTTTCTTAAATTTTGCGTTTACTATGATACTTGCTCCAATAAAAAAATGTGTTAATTCAATCCATCGACCATAGAGTCTAACATATCTTGGTGCAGACAGATTCTTGTTTGTGATTTCAATAACAAGTGCATTTTCTTTGGCTTTGTCATCGAAAACGATATTATGAACAAAAGTTATAATGTAAAGCTCTGATGACAGCTGATTTGGCTGATTCACCGAGGTTGGCGCCGAAACAGATGATAATGGATTTTGAACCTGATTATTTGGAGTAGATCCATTTATCATCAATTTTTATTGTAAAAATTGCCACTTTTTTACCAAAATAAACATTATCATTACAAGTGAATAATATCAGCAATATATTAAGTATTTTGCTATAGAAAATATAGAAAACAGATGTGTTTAAAGATGTACTAGTATTAAAACTTCAATAAACAATGAAAACAAACAATATTTTGTGATATTTTATTAAAACATTTATTTCATTATTAAACTACAAAATAGCAAAGACATCACCCTTGATGTAATGTATCAGCAAGTTAAAAGAATGAAAATAGGAAAATATTCTAAAAATATTGAAGGCAATTTATATCATTTTTTCTTGAATGTAAATTTGTTTTTATTTAATGAAAATGCTTCCATATATACTATGTACCATGCATGAACATATTTCTATAAGCAACATCATTTCAAACATTTCATATTACAAGAAAATAACGCTAATAGTACTATATAAATTGAGAATATTTTCAAAATTGAGAATTGATGTATTGAAACCAAAGCATCTCAATTCTGTGTCTCACAGAATTAAAGAATACTATGTATCGGCTGCTAAATCGATACCTATAAGAAATCATTCAAAAGATGTATATGTATTCAAATTTGAAATGAATTTCAGAAAAGTATATAAAATAGAGCTATTTTCATGTCCAAAGCCACACCTATTGGTTGTATTACTATTTCTGGCTACGGTAAGTATTTCTGGTCATATGGATGCTTGGCCGCATCAAATTGAAAGATAGGTTTATTGCAACAATGCATTTTTAGGTCAGTTTCAAGCACAATAATCTATTCTTTAACTTATTGCCTATCGGAATATCAGTCAAAACCAGTTCTCCTGTGAAATCAAGAAAATTTGACATTTTTTATGATAACAGGAATTAGCAAACTGTTTAGCACTGTCAAGAGAGGAACACAGAAGCCATTAATGCTTGCTGGTAAGTTCTATAAGGACAGTGATCCAGAAATTGCTGCGGAACGTGATATTGCTAAAATGATTTGGTATGAATATAATAATACTCAAGCACATGAAACAGAAAAACGTAAAAGTTTGTTGAAAATGCTCTTTAAAGATGATGTTGATGTAACAATTAATCCACCTTTCCGTTGTGATTATGGAATTAATATTAAATTAGGCAAAGGATGTTATTTCAACTATGGATGCACAATTCTTGATGTTAACAAAGTCGAATTCGGTGATGGAGTTTTAGTTGCTCCAAATGTTTCAATTTATAGTGCAACTCACCCACTCGATCCAAAGCTAAGAAAGGAAGGAAAAGAATATGGTCTTCCTATTAAGATCGGAAACAATGTTTGGATTGGCGGTAGTGCTGTTATTGGCCCAGGTGTCACAATTGGCGACAATTCAGTTATTGGTGCAGGCGCTGTTGTTGTAAAAGACATCCCAGCAAACTCTGTCGCAGTTGGAAATCCAGCCCGTGTTATCAAGAAAATAGATGTTTCAAATGAATAAATATCTAATAAATGTTCTAATAATAGCATACCTTACTTTTCATTGGGACATCTATTTTTGAGAAATATATTTTTTGAAGCATTAATTTAAATGTATTTTAAAATAAATGGTCATTCAAAATATTGATAAGCCTGTAGATTACTATAATTCTTATTTTTGGATCCGATCGTAAAAATATAAAAAAAAATACCCTATATTTCCAACTCTTGGAAAATTTTCATGACCCCCCTACCCAGGGTCCTAAAATGGGTATTTTCCTCACACAGACGCCGTGGTTTTTTGAGCCGGGAAATAAATAGCGCAGACAGTTTCTACATATAGAGACATGCTTATACTTAGAGTTTGACGGGAATCTAAAGTGATTTTTTTCTGCATCGCGAAATCTAATGCAATCTCAAAATCATGAAGAAACTGCGAATCGGAGCGCAATTTTTTAATATGTTAATATATAAAGGTACCCCTACTACTGCAAATGCTTCAAATGAAAATCTAAGAAATCAGATTAATTTGATCACATTAGTATAGTATTGGTCAAACCAAAAACTCATATGTTGATATATAGCCTATGGATATTCATATTATCTACTTTTCATTGAATTACATAAGATTTAATAATCTCATAAATATTCTTTTTAATTTTCCGAATTCCGTGTGCATTTAGATTGCCCATACCTGTATATAATAATTCTAGAATGGTTTGGTTAGATATTAAGTTTTTTAGATTAATATTTTAACATTTTGATAAAACAAGCATTTGTTCCATTTTAGAATCGCCATTGAACTCTAGTTTGACTAACATGATGTTGTCTGATCAAATAAATTCTAACTTCATGAGATAAATTTTGAAATTAGAAAATGCGATATCTGACTCAAATATTTATATGAACACATTTAACATTCAATGATAAACTAAAGTACTATACAGCAGATTCGATTTGGCTTATATTTTATAATCAACTAATAATCCTATAAAATTGTGCTATTCACGTTGCTCAAAGATGTATTGAACATTCACTACTTGTGTATTGATAAAATTAGATATAGATTCTAATGTAAATCGATATTTTGAAAATTCATATATATTTTGTCTTGGTTTGGCATTTGATCGTGTTGAAACCGGAATTGCAATATATATCATCTAAATATATAACTATCAAAATATGAGCTATAGATTTTTAAATTATTATCCTGAATATGAGTGACTAACATAATTATATTGAATTGAGTAGTAAGAATCTTAAATATTAGAATCTGACGATAATTTATTATAACTGTATAAAGGAACAAGACTATAAATGATGATGAAAATAAAGATTAAATTTAAATCTGAAAATTTGAAAACATTAAGTGTATTGTGCACTCTTGTCGGTCACAGTATCTCATTCCGGGAGACATTGTCACTGCATGTCTCCCAGAATGATATCAAGTTCCCCATTCATAACTTGAATGCGAACTTTGACCGACAAGAGTGTATTGTGCACTCTTGTCGGTCACAGTGTCTCATTCCGGGAGACATTCACTGCAATGTCTCCCAGAATGAGACAATCTTCTGCAATCAGAATGTGATTGCAAAACTTTGAGCGACAAGAGTGTATTGTGCACTCTTGTCGGTCACAGTGTCTCATTCCGGGAGACATTGTCACTGCATGTCTCCCAGAATGATATCAAGTTCCCCATTCATAACTTGAATGCGGAACTTTGACCGACAAGAGTGTATTGTGCACTCTTGTCGGTCACAGTGTCTCATTCCGGGAGACATTGTCACTGCATGTCTCCCAGAATGATATCAAGTTCCCCATTCATAACTTGAATGCGGAACTTTGACCGACAAGAGTGTATTGTGCACTCTTGTCGGTCACAGTGTCTCATTCCGGGAGACATTGTCACTGCATGTCTCCCAGAATGATATCAAGTTCCCCATTCATAACTTGAATGCGGAACTTTGACCGACAAGAGTGTATTGTGCACTCTTGTCGGTCACAGTGTCTCATTCCGGGAGACATTGTCACTGCATGTCTCCCAGAATGATATCAAGTTCCCCATTCATAACTTGAATGCGGAACTTTGACCGACAAGAGTGTATTGTGCACTCTTGTCGGTCACAGTGTCTCATTCCGGGAGACATTGTCACTGCATGTCTCCCAGAATGATATCAAGTTCCCCATTCATAACTTGAATGCGGAACTTTGACCGACAAGAGTGTATTGTGCACTCTTGTCGGTCACAGTGTCTCATTCCGGGAGACATTGTCACTGCATGTCTCCCAGAATGATATCAAGTTCCCCATTCATAACTTGAATGCGGAACTTTGACCGACAAGAGTGTATTGTGCACTCTTGTCGGTCACAGTGTCTCATTCCGGGAGACATTGTCACTGCATGTCTCCCAGAATGATATCAAGTTCCCCATTCATAACTTGAATGCGGAACTTTGACCGACAAGAGTGTATTGTGCACTCTTGTCGGTCACAGTGTCTCATTCCGGGAGACATTGTCACTGCATGTCTCCCAGAATGATATCAAGTTCCCCATTCATAACTTGAATGCGGAACTTTGACCGACAAGAGTGTATTGTGCACTCTTGTCGGTCACAATGTCTCATTCCGGGAGACATTATCACTGCATGTCTCCCAGAATGATATCAAGTTCCCCATTCATAACTTGAATGCGGAACTTTGACCGACAGGAGTGTATTGTGCACTCTTGTCGGTCACAATGTCTCATTCCGGGAGACATTGTCACTGCATGTCTCCCAGAATGATATCAAGTTCCCCATTCATAACTTGAATGCGGAACTTTGACCGACAAGAGTGTATTGTGCACTCTTGTCGGTCACAATGTCTCATTCCGGGAGACATTGCCTCTGAATGTCTCCCTGAATGAGACAATCTTCTGCAATCAGAATGTGATTGCAAAACTTTGACCGACAAGAGTGTATTGTGCACTCTTGTCGGTTGAAAGTTCTGCAATCAGAAGAAGATTGTTGAACAATCCGCCATTCCAGGAGGCATGAGCTTGTTATCTCTCCTGAAATGGCACATATTTGATAATTCATGGAGCAGAACTTTGCACGCAATCAGACAAAAGATTGCGACAGAGTAACTGGGAAGACAGCAACTTGAAGCGATAAGCTGCTTGGGTGCTGTCTCCCAGATGCATCTGTCGGGCAAAGTCTCAAAGGAGCAGAACCTTGCACGCAATCAGACAAAAGATTGCGACAGAGTAACTGGGAAGACAGCAACTTGAAGCGAAGTTTTGTTTTCGAGCCTTTGGTTAAGAAATCTTAACAAAAAAACAAAAAAAAAAATCAGATAAAGTTGTCAATAACTTCATCAGTTAATGCTCACCTATGGGAGGTGTTTTGCGGGAGCTGGGGGTATCTTGGTGAGTACTCAGGAGGCCAAGAAGGGCACCCCAACCGACATTATCCTGATGAATTCAGTTGTCAACCATTCTGAAAACCGCTGAAACCGTCGTGTGTAGAGAAATTGTTTAAATTTATTTTTTTCAGATTTAAATAAAAATAAGAAATGTTTACTATTATGGATTTTGAAATTTTTTTAAATTAAGAGTAGGAGATGAGACAAATTTAAATTTTTAAGAAATATTTGGAAGGGTGTAAGATACGCCAACTTAAATATATTATTAAATATGAGAAAATCGCTCAACAAAAAAACAATTCTTTCAAAAAGTTTAAAATTTATCTTTCTAATACATATTTTTGGAAGGAGTTTACATTCTCAAAATAAAAACCAGTTCAAAATCTTATTACTCCTTGAATTAAAATCATTTAATTTCAAATCCATTCCAAATCCTTAAATCTGTATTAAAATCATTTTGCCAACAACCAACACAATACAAATTACATTTCCATATATCTTCTTGTCCATTTTAATTTTTTATCTCATTTTATTTAATTTTATTTAAAGCATATAGACATCGAGATCCTTTACACATAGTTATATAAAAGTCAAATACATAATAAATTCTTAATTCTAGAGATATCTCAAAATCTCAATTTTTTAATTTAAAATACCTTTCATTTTTCACAGTACTATCACAACAAACAAGCCATTTACTAATTAACACATATAAGAAAAATATCAAATTACAAAACAACTTTCAATATCATTCGCATCGAATTCTATTTTTTCATAATTATCAACTACATGTTATTATATAATATATGTCGGCGCATATTCCACTCTATACAAGTGTCAGACACACTCACACAAAGCTGTGAGATTCATACCTCTATCAGTAGGACTTCTCAAATCAAGAACACATATGTTTCACTATCGCACATCTGCGTAGGATCTAATTAACCCTTTGGACTGGTACTTCAAAATTTGATAATTTGATAATTTCATGTGATATCATCATTTGCCTTTAAAACAACTGTGCGTTAAACTAGACACGTTTCTCTATCATAATGCAAAATATCAAAGTTTGGGAGATTCCCAAAGTGTCTGAAACTGATCATAAGGGTGAAAAACCGTTTTCCAGAAGTTGGGAACGTAGGGTAAAATTGAAAAAATGATGAAGAAATAAGTCATGAATATTGATCATTTCTGAAGAATAAAGAAATAATATTATAAATAAAAAACGTTAAAAAAAGAAAGATAAATTTGACTATTAAATTGATGATATTGAAAATTGAAGTGTGTAGTTAGTGATTCGTGATATTGAATGTTTGATTTGGTTTATAAAAGTTTATCGCAAAATTATGGAAAAAAATATCAACATAAAATGGCTATGATTTTAAGAAATAACCTGATGGAAAGGAATCAGATAGGGATTGAAAAAAAAATCATAAAAGAATTACTACTTGGAAATAATAATTAAAAGATTCTAAAAAAAAATGAAAATAGAAAATAATTTTGAATAATAAAAATTGAAAATTCCCAATGATATATTGGAAGAATGAATAATAACAGTGATCATTAAAAATTGAATTGTGGACATTTAAGGGTGCACACGAGAGGATCATGTAAACTTCAGAATTTAGAACCTTATTTTATGCATTATCTTGGCTACCTATTTAGGCTCGAAAAGCAAAAAATATCAAAAAATACAAGTTGACTCCATTATGACCCTTTCATGGAGGTAGTTTTTATCCGCTAGTATTTTCCCTTTGAATCTCTTTACAATTCGAAATCAAATTCAAAACTCAGTAGAAGAAAGGAAGAATCGACTTACTACGGTTGTAATACGAATAAATACATATATTTAATTATTTTTATTTACATAATAATTGTTTGAAGCTCATATTCCATCAAATTTTTAAATAAAAACATTAAAATGTTGAAAATGTTCATATATTTTAATAGGGTTTTGGCACTTTATTGAGGAATTACTACATACATAGTCGAACTGAACTTGATATTTTGAAATTTAAATTATTTATCAAAATTAAAATTTAACTTGAAATTTATAATTATTTAGTCATATTTTGCATAATTCTAAGTAGATTTTGTAAAAAATCAAGAAAGAAGATTTTTAACGTGCTTTATTTTTTCTTTTTTATAATAATACATATTATTATATAATTAACATATTCATAATGTTTCACCCTTTCAAAAATATAATCCTCCTCCTCTCAAATAAACGTACATACGGGTGGCCTCTTTTTTCAAAAAATCAAAATTTGAAATTTTGGGCTCAAATATTAGAGATTTTTTCAACCTTCAACGATATATGTTGTCTATATCAGACCTCCTTTCTTTTTGATACTTAACATTGTTCCTAAATCTTAGCCGTTAAGGCTGTTCTGAAAATATTTTTTTTCGAAAAAATTCGAAAAAAATTCTTAAAATTCAAAAATCGCTTAATTCCTGAGGATTTTGGAAAAAAGTTTTTACATGAACATGTGTATATTATATGAAGTATATTGATAAGGTAAAAATCAAATTTTATTGCATATTCATCGAGAAAATAAACTAACGAATCCTCCTCCTCTCATATAAACGTACATACGGGTGCACCCTTAAAAAGAAGATCAATATAAAAATTTTAAGAATCATTAGAAAAGAGCATAAAAATAATTCCACGTTTGAATATAAAAGTAATTTTCCAAACCGCTCGCTTTCAAAAATTTACGAGATTAATTGAAAATTATTGAAAGAAAATCAATAAGAAAGTTCAAAAGTTGAAATAATAAGATAGAGGTACTAGTGTTATGATAGCAAAAACGATGAATGTATTTTGAAAATTTTTAAAGTTGATAAAAATAATTTGAAAATCCATAATATTTCGGATTTTTGGATTAATCGGAGAATAAAATAATACTGGTTACACTAGAGATAATTTTGGAATGATTATTAGAATTTTGAAAATTCAGAGAAGGAGTTTAATTGGTCATTTATTATTTAGTATTTTATACTGAAATGTTTGAATTTCATTTGAGAAAACGATAAGATCTTAAACCTGACTGATTTAATGGAAAACAAGAGAATCAAATTGGATGCTTTTTGTTAAACCTATATTAGTTACTTTTCGCTCCTTTATTACAAATTTCTATTGATAAAATATATTAAACGATTCACAATTTTTGTTAGCGTTTCAAATTTTGTGAGCATTATTAGGAACCTAAAATTTGCGAATAATTACCTAAATAATTGGCCAATTTAAGAAATCTTTATGAATTATTCATCCACAATAGCCATATAAATGATCTAATCAATTTTGGAAAGAAGTTTCGCATCTCTTTATCTCCCAATTTATCAATTAACAGTTGATTCCTCAATGGCTTTTCAAAAGATGCATATTGATATATTCTTATAATAAATCACCAAAAATTGCATTTCCTTTTTACTAATTGATCTGTTTTTTCTCAAAATTAAAATTGACCTCAAGCAAGAATCTATTTTATATCTTAATATTGCATATGGCATTATTTTTTATTGATTGTCATTTCAAATTTCCTTTTCAGATTTCAAAACAAATCAAATCTTCGATTAAACTCTTCGATTTTATTTATATTCGATATCACTATACTGAAACATGCATACCATTTTAAACTGAACTTGATTTATTTCTCAAACAAAAATTTCAATATAGTTTATCGTAATTTATTTATTTCGTAATTTTAATATACCTTAGACATCTATCACATTTCTGAAAATTTCCTTTTGTTTTTTATCCTTCAAATCTGAGTTCTTAATTTTTTACTTGGAATTTATTCCGAGTAATATTACCTTGCAATAGTAAAATTTCTCAGATCTCTTCTCTTTCAATATGTTGGAGGTTCATATTCAAGTTATTATTGTTACGCTTTCAATTTATCAAATTTTCTTTCATCCAATTCTTCCATTTAAAATTGCTTTAGAATTGCATATACTGATAATAGATTATTCTTTCAAAATTTAAACAGCGGTCTATATTCAATTCAAATTGATCGTTCCTTGAAAATCATTCTTATGAATTTTACCCCAAGAGAATCCAACTTTTCTGCGACAGTTAAAAAAATCATATCCCAATGCAAGGCTTCACCACAAGAATATATTAAAGTTAACACCATTGCGGAAAACGAAAACTGCGAAAAAAGAAGATTATACGATTTATTTAATGTGTTATGCTCGCTTGGTTTGTGCACCAAAACTGTCAATAAAATGTATTGCTGGTCAGGAGAAGACAATATGCTCAAGACAATCAACGAAGAATATGAAAGAGTTGAATCCTTAGCAATAAACAATGATTTCTGGACTATTTTTAAGATGCCTGAATCTCCTCCTATTGGTCAACTTGCCTTGACCACCGTAATTATCTATCTCTTCTTTGGAACTAATGAAATGGCGCTCAAGCAAGTATGCCTTGTTATGGCCCAGAAGCGTTCAAAAATGAGTTGTTTGCTTAGAAGACTTTATTTGGCCGCATTCTTCTTAGAGCAAGTTGGCGTCATCGCTCATTCTTTCCAAATTGGTTCATATACCTTACTTTTAGACTACAAATATATTATATCTAGCTCCTTCTCAAATATGAAAGAGCGCCTTGTTTTTCCGTTTAACTCTATTGCTTCACAACTCCATAGAATTGATGATAATTACTTACATGAAATTAAATATATTAGGAATCAGCTATTGATTCAAAAGATGAAGGCTACCCATGTCTCCATTCTTCCAAACAATGGTCATGATAATGATCAAGATCAGATCGAATATGAACCACCATCTCCTGTGAAGATGGTTGAAATTTATTAATAAAGTGTTATATGTTTATTGTGAGGCATTCGAGCTTTTTGCTTAGCCTAATTGAGGATATATTTTGCAAAAAGTAAAATTACTCATCTTCTCAATTAATGTAATATGATATTTTTGGTTGATAAACTATATATCGCTGAATGAAGGTCAGAAATCAAATAATAATTTCTTCGAAATTTTCTTAAAACAATAAAGATCAATATTGCTAACATATATGTTTATATCAATTAAAACAAATGTACTTTATATGACATTGAGAAATGGAGAAAATCGAACCTATGCATTCTTTGAATTTATTTAAGGGTTTCGTTTTGCTAAAATTGTCACTTTTATAGCATATTTGTTTTTGGATGTTTTGCGAAACCAAAAAAAAACTATGATATACAATGTGTGTGTAAAAAAATACTTTATTTACTAGTTAAAAAATCATTTGGTATTGATCAAGTTTTTTTTTCTGGATAAGATATTATATGGATAATTGGATAGAAAATACAATTATATAATCTTGTACCTGGTTTAATTAAGTTAATTGTCATCAGAAACTTGTAATTTTTATGAATTTCAGATTTTCTTTTCATTACTGCTTTTCTTAATAGGTCAAGTTCTTATTTACGTTATAAAGTATGATATTTACAAATATCAAGTTATCATGTTTTTTGAGAAATTATGAGAAACAAACAAAAATGAAAAAGATAGGAATAGCAATGAATAGTGATGTGGGTATAGAAAATGTAAGAGATATGAATGCAAAGCAATCAGTATTTAGGACATTGACCATAGATTTCGAAAAAAAAATGCTGCATATTGAGCGAAAACTATGATTATATTATAAGGCTGTCATTTAAAGCATAATGAAACTATTCCCTTTTCATTTTAATCGAATAAGATAGTAAAGATTTTTGAATTAGCTAGAAACTGATGAGATGTTTTCACAAATCAGATTTTTAATCTCTATAATGCATAATTCACTCAATATCTCAATTTTGATATTGCGAGATATTTTTGCTATCGGTTTCGCAATTTTGACACAATAGCAAGAGGGTTCTATAAGCATTATTATCAACGTAGAATCTGAATATCATATCAGAAAATGTCGCAAATCTGACATTTACCCGACCAAATAGCAAAAATAATTGAATACTTTTCGCAAAAACTTTAAAAATCGATAAAAATATGAAATATAGATATTAAAGAGACTTTTTATATAATATTCATAAAGATTTTCCAAAAATATGATACCGCAAAATTAAAAAAGTGACGTCTTGAGTGGAGTCAAAGGTCGAAATTGCTAGCTAAATGTTTTTTTAGCGAAATTGCGTATTGTACGTTTTTTTCGCAAAACGAAACCCTTAAATTTATTATGTAAAAATTGAGTTATATAGTGCATATTTCCATTTGGATGTTAGAATTTTGCATAAATTCATAATATCGAATCATCGAAAATGCAAAACACGAAGTTCAAAGTTAAAAATCTAGGTATATATACATTTGCTAGCAATAAAATATTTCATGCTGCTTAACAACTTAAATATGCCTTATTTTCTTTAGTATTTTCATATTTGACTTTAATTGTGAAATTATTTATCGTACATTTCCGTATATTATTTAGATTTGTTTGGATAAGCATTTGCAATATGTATTTCTAATCATTTCTAATTAAATTATTCAAATATTAAAATATGCAGAATAAGCCAATGTACTGATAGATTTTAGATTACGACAGTAGATATTTGATATTTTTATTAACCCTGGAGAGGGGTAACAATTTTTTCAATCACAGGTGTTATTTTTACATAATTATTATTCAATAATCATGCATCAAGTTTGCATATGCATAGAATATTCAAAATTAGAGTGAATAATAGTTGTCATGCTATTAATTGTAACCAAAATCTTCAAATTAAACAAATTTCTCGTAATTCCAGATCAATGACATTATATTTGACTTTACGAATCGCATCATAATATAAATATCGAAAGAGTTTAGTTATATATAATGAAGAAAGTAACCATTCAGAATTCAAATGATTTACACATTAAAAACACTACTACTGTATTAAAAATATGCTTCCTTAGCTTCGATATATAAGTTTTTAATCCAATTCTAATGAGATCAGCTGAAATTTATTAGCACAAGTGGATATAACTTATACTTTGAAGCAAAAAGCGGAGGAATCTAAAATTTAAACAAAATATTTATCATACAAATAAAAATAATAAAAAATAAAACTAATATTACATAAAACAATTATTTTTGGTAAACATAACCAATTCTTTCCCAAATTTGCTTATGCCGTTGGCATAATTGCTTGGCTATTTTTGATTGTATAACATCGTAGGTTTCATCCGCAGAGTAACGCTGTATAGGTTTCGCTTTAAGATTGATAGGCATCGAGCGCGATAAATTATTACAAGGATAAGCATTAAGACGATCCTTGTTATTATCGTCTATTACTATTATAGGGTTTTCGAATTTTCCATGATTATCATCGATATTTATCTGATTAAGTAATTGTTGATCTCTATCCGCACTCTTTTTGCCGATTTCTTCCCCATATTTCGTAATTAAATGATTTGTTAGTGATAAAAAAGATGGCTGATGTATATCGGTTCCTATTCTGTAGCAAGAAACGCTACGCCCCTGTCGAAGGCATAACGGTTCTGTTTCTCCGCTACTATTAGAGAATTCATCTTCGCATGCATCATTAAACCAAGGGCTGTCCATTTATCTAATAAAATTTTAATGCGATAGATTGGAAAAATATAAAATAAGTTTCTGAAGACAAAATAAAAAAATTCAATGGGCCTCAGAAAAATTTGCTTCTAAAGATAAAAAATTCTGTGATTATTTACATGATAAAAATTTGATTTTAAAAATATTGTGATGTGTTCATTTTGTAGATCACAAATCTTCAATGATCAATTAAAGTATAACGTCTTTGATTTTATGAATTTTTGATTTAGCTGAATATTTTTATTAATAAATTTAGCATAGGGAAAATATTTTTTCATAAAAATTTGTAAAAAATGACCCCCTTTCAATTATCATCTCGAAAATGTATACTCATATTTTATGAGCGGAGATTGCATATTTATCCTAATTGCAGTTTTCTGCATTGAAGTATCATGGATTCGCGAATTTATTGGTTCGTTTGATCGACCAAAATTGTTTTTGAATTTTAATATTCGGATATTAACAAAGGCTAAGAGATTTGACAGAAATCAAATGTTAAGCCAAAATCTTTCGACAGGAAATTCGATTAAAAAATATTGACGGATTTGAAACAATTCAATAGTTTACATGCCTCATTGATATAAAAATTTTATGAATATTTTTACTTATGAAAAAGACTACATGCATGCCCTATATTGTCTAATATCAAATTCAAAGTAAATTAATTTGTCACTAACAATTTTCATAAAATTCAAATCTGCTTCTTGATTTCGGACATTGAAATTCATTGATATTGCATCATTAAATATATTGATTTTTTACAAAAACGGATTGGAATATTAAATTTTTAAGGGAGGCTTCCGACCAGAAAGCTCTCTCAATTTTTTGTGATGTTTACACCAAAAGTGAAATTCGTTAAGCGTTTTTCTCGTTGAATATTGAGTTTCCCGGATTTTGAGTTATTCATAAAGCTCCTCTATATTATACCCTATCTACTGATATGATTATTTTTGAAAAATCTCTTAAATCGACCTGCACCGAATTTTTTAGGGAAAATTCGAAATTTTATCGGCGTTTTCTGGAACGTTTTTTTACGGAATAAAATCTGAAAAATAATTTTTTGAAGAATCATTTGGGTAGAATACTTATCGAAAAGGCGTCAAAAATTTTCTCACTGGGTTTTCGTCTATCAATCCCAGCTCATTATATACGCAACCAATCAAAAATCTGATATGGGAGTCCAAGGCTAACTTTTTGTTGTCTACCTAATAAAAGAGGAAGCAGCATTAGTGAGAATAATCGCAAATATTCAATTTAAATTATCTTTTTATTCTTAATTTAAAGTGACAAAAAGAATAAAAAACCTATTCTAAGGCATGTTGTTATGTAAATGAGACTAGACATCATATTTTATGTTATGAAAAAAAAATATTTAGAATTTTAGAACAAAATAAATAGAAAAAATAGCATAACTTATGGATGTGCGTATATTAAATTTAATAAATTAAGAGAAATTATTTTTGGCGCCAAAATTATTCGTTAACTCTCAAATTTTTCTGAGTCAATAAGCCGCCAAAAAAGTGTCATTTTGTTTCGTTAGAGAAAGATGAATTGTCCATGTCATCCAATCGGGAACAAGGGGGATGGGGATTAGATGATAAAGAAGCAATTCATGCTCTCTATCTGAAGCAATCAGACTTACCAGCAACAATGTGAATCGATTTGGCTTTAAAGTTAATATAGCAGATCAGCTTGTTACTGGAGAGACTAGGCATTACGATTGATTCGCTGTAGTGCTCTACTTTAATTTAAGAGTAGTAACGGATAACTGAATTCCCAAAATTCTTTAGGTGATCCAAAACACTGTAGCTGCTTGAACTTTGGACGAGCCTCGCACCCCAGAGAATAGAAATCCCAATCTTGCTCATGTTTAGTTGAATTAGTCTGCAGCAGTACAGCTCTGATACCACAAGATCGTGATGTATACAAAGTCACAACGCTATTTGATTCAACAACTAGCTAGTTTTGACATCAAATTGCAAAATTTGACTTCGTTATGAGCTCTTTGTAGCAAAAATACATTACACTTAAAGACTAGTTGCTAGACTGTAGTAGTTTGTTCGTATATATCTATTTTTCCCCAACGTATTGCATACTACATTTTGACAAGACTTGCAACCTTATAGTAACCTCGTTGGGAATTGTTCAAGCAAAGCGTAGGTAGTTAAGGTCGAGTAAGAGTTCTTCTTAAATCTTTCACTGAATGAGTAGGTGTTGGAAGAACTGTTCTCTAAAGCGATACAGTTGCGCTACATGTTCGTCAACTTGTCTAGAAATAAATATATCATTTGTTTTATACGTTTTTTCGTAATAAATCTATTTGTATTTGTTGTATTTGAGTATGAAGATAACAAAAACTACGGCATAAGACGCAGTACACTGGGCTTCGTTGCCATTTTATTTACCATGTTAAGAATAAACTTAACAGACATGCTTTGTTTTCGACGAAGCCATCTAAAATAACGTACATCTAAATAAAACTAAAAAACTGTAAAATTTCTTTATTTGATAGTATACTTCAAATTATGCACTATACCTTCTAGAATTCTATAACACTCTTTGCATATAATTTTTTTAAAAAAAGTTATATCTCGACAAAAATATGATTTATCAATAGAGTATGTAAAATAAAACTCATTCGCAGTATTAAAAAATCGTAAATCTTTCCAAAAAAATTTTGAATTACAAATTTTAAAAGTTAAAACAATATTTTTTGAAGCGAAAAAACGAAATCTAATTTTTTTGGAAAATTTAGAATAAATAGAGCTCTTTAACTCGTCGAATGCAAATTGTTTTCAAGTTTTTTTCGACCGGAAATTGAACTTTTAGAGTTTATACAATAAGATTCACATGAAAAAATACGGGTTTAACAAAGAAATCACCAATATAAAGGTTTTTTAGTAGAACGAGATTGATAAAAACTATGGTATGATAAAAAGACGATAATTTTTTTGGCGGGATAATTGAAGAATATGAATGATTCGAATTACAGACATACTCTAGTCCGAAACTTACTATGGTTCGTGACTTATTTTTGACACAGAATAGCTGTAGACTAAGGCTTACTCTAGATCCAGACTTATTATACAATTAAATTTGCTTTTGGAATAAGACTTAATTTTAGTTACAAACTTATCTTAATATCAGACTTATATTTAGAATCAGACTTACTTTAGTCTAGAACTTACATTTAGAATCAGACTTACATTTCAAGTCAGACTTACTTTCGTCCGAGACTTACATTTCAAGTCAGACTTACTTTCGTCCGAGACTTACATTTCAAGTCAGACTTACATTCGTCCGAGACTTACATTTCAAGTCATACTTACTTTCGTCCGAGACTTACATTTCAAGTCATACTTACATTCGTCCGAGACTTACATTTCAAGTCATACTTACTTTCGTCCGAGACTTACATTTCAAGTCAGACTTACTTTCGTCCGAGACTTACATTTCAAGTCAGACTTACTTTCGTCCGAGACTTACATTTCAAGTCAGACTTACTTTCGTCCGAGACTTACATTTCAAGTCAGACTTACATTCGTCCGAGACTTACATTTCAAGTCAGACTTACTTTCGTCCGAGACTTACATTTCAAGTCATACTTACTTTCGTCCGAGACTTACATTTCAAGTCATACCTACTTTCGTCCGAGACTTACATTTCAAGTCAGACTTACTTTCGTCCGAGACTTACATTTCAAGTCATACTTACTTTCGTCCGAGACTTACATTTCAAGTCATACCTACTTTCGTCCGAGACTTACATTTCAAGTCAGACTTACTTTCGTCCGAGACTTACATTTTAAGTCATACTTACATTAATATCAAACTTATATTAACCTACGACTTACTTTTATTCCCAGACATCTTGATCCACACTGACATTGAAAACCACTCATACATCTAAAGCCACTCAAACATCTAGATCCACTACGACATGGAAATCCACTCAAACATAATTTTTGCTCTCTAACTACATTTTTATATGATTTTACAACCTAAATTTTCTTCTTTACCTAAAGATTATTCGCAATATCTGAATATCATTAATTAATTGAGATATTCAAGTTTTGACAGCGGATTTGGAAAGCAGACTTGATGGAGATTTTAAATCTGATGTCAAATCTTGGTTTTGTGCATTATTGGAAGAGAAAAAAGGGTGTTAATTGCAAATCTTAAATATAGGTTTTTACGAAAAATGTAATTAGGGTTAGAATCATAGAAAGATATATCTGTCAGACATTGTTATGTGTGACAGATAATATTGCATCTCATAGACACTGTTGCATCTGTCAGACACTGTTAAATTTCATAGACACTGTTGCATCTCATACACACTGTTGCATCTGTCAGACACTATTGCATCTGTCAGACACTGTTGTATCTCATAGACACTGTTGTATCTCATAGACACTGTTGCATCTCATAGACACTGTTGCATCTCATAGACGCTGTTGCATCTGTCAGACACTGTTGCATCTCATAGACACTGTTGCATCTCATAGACACTGTTGTATCTCATAGACACTGTTGTATCTCATAGACACTGTTGCATCTCATAGACACTGTTGCATCTCATAGACACTGTTGCATCTGTCAGACACTGTTTTATCTCTCGGACACTATTACATTATCTTACTCTATTTCTAATTTTAAATATTTTTCTGTTTTTTGTTTTCATTATTAAATTTATTTTATAAAAATTATTTCTCTTACTTAAATTTTAAATTTCTTCTTAGTTTAATCCTAAAATTCGTTTACTTTTAAAATTGACATTCCGTTTAATGGCCATGGCTCCTTTTGATTATGGATGTATTATTGATCTAAATAAAATCAATAGTACTATTCTTAAGATAATAAATTATTCAAAATATCTCGTTCAGAATAATATAGACCTCGATTTAGAAGATCCAGAATTTAATGATATTCAGGCTGAATGTAAGCGCATTCGTACATGTGATGCTTATAACTACATTACCCTTTTTGTAA